TTCTCGCCTACATCGTCCATATAGGACGACTTGGGAACTCAACTCCTACCCCGGGCAGCTCACCTATCCCCTTATGCCCAGGGGAAAGGTATCAAGCCGTTTGACAGCTGATGCTGGCTGTCAAACCGGCTTTTACGCAAAACAGGCGGGAGGCAGCAAACAGCTGCGACCGACGAAATCGCCTGCCACCGGAAGTCTCATAAACTTTGACTTATAATAATAATAAAGTTGGAAGGTACCTTGGAGATCATCTAGTCCAACCCCCTGCTCAGGCAGGAAACCCTATACCATTTCAGACAAATAGCTGTCCAGTCTCTTCTTAAAAACTTCCAGTGTTGGAGCATTCACCGCTTCTGGAGGCAGATTGTTCCACTGGTTAATTGTTCTAACTGTCAGGAAGTTTCTCCTTAGTTCTAGGTTGCTTCTCTCCTTGATCAGTTTCCACCCATTGCTTCTTGTCCTGCCTTCAGGCACCTTGGAGAATAGCTTGACTCCCTCTTCTTTGTGGCAACCCCTGAGATATTGGAACACTGCTATCATGTTCCCCCTCGTCCTTCTCTTCATTAAACTAGACATACCCAATTCCAGCAACCGTTCCTTATATGTTTTAGCCTCCAGACCTCTAATCATCTTTATTGCTCTTCTGTGTACTCTTTCTACATCTTTTTACATCGTGGCGACCAAAACTGGATGCAGTATTCCAAGTGTGGCCTTCCCAAGGCATTGTAGAGCGGTATTAATACTTCACGTGATCTTGATTCTATTCCTCTGTTAATGCAGCCTAGCACTGTGTTGACTTTTTTGGCAGCTGCAGCACACTGCTGGACTGGGTCCCTTATTTCTAGCTGTCATGCTCCTTCTGGTCCTGAACATGAGGCAATACAAGATCATGACTATAAATAGGACATAATAAAATGAATAATGAATGCAGGATCCAATCTGAGTCAGTCATAAGGATCAGAGATTTATTCTTCCAAACTTTCAGACTTGTGCTGGAGCCCATCTCAGGGATCGTCTCTCTCTTGCCACACATTCTGGAGAGAAATTCCTTGAGAATGGACCCCAGCACAAGTCTGAATGCTTGGAGGAATAAACCTCTGGTCCTGGTGACTGACTCAGATTGAATCCTGCAACATTATCCTGGGATACTATATTTGTCTTCGTTCGTAAATAATGAATGTCCTAGTATGAAATTCCAGTTCCTTCTAATGAACGTCAATGGCTATTTTCTGTTTTGCTATTTGGGAATGTCTCTAAAAACCATTGCATTAATCAAATCTTTATTACGGTCATAGACAAGCATACCATTTCATTAAGTTTCTGTTCCCCTGGTTTGAAAGCATTGGGTATTGAGTAGGAAGAGCAACATCCCATTGCTCTTCTGTTATGGGAATTCTGAATGGTGGGATACCACAAGACAGCACTGCAAATAGCCACCTCGTCGTTCTTCCCAGGATTTTGTGCAAGCAGGAGAGTCTGACGCAGAACGTTGTGCCCCTCGGCTAGAGCTGGAGCATCGTGGCTGCCTTCCTAGTGAGATCATGGATCCCCAAGGCAAGCAGCATATTTTGGAGGACAGGCCTCTGAAAGATAACATGTACCATGAAAACATCATTCAACTATCACCTCAAAGAATTGTTCTTCAGCTTCGGCCTGGTAAGTACCTTTATTGGAAAGGCTCTCCAGACTGTGAAGAATCTGAGAAGCACTGGGTTGCCTGATCCTAATAGCTTGCCAATAGGAAGGTTCCTCCCAATAAAGGAGAATATTTGTAGCTCAGGGTTGAAATGAGGGTTCCTTGGTGCTCTCTGAGCTTAGTGGTTTTCTTGCAGACATTTCATTACCCAAACTAGGTAACATCATCAGCACTGATGATGTTACCTAGTTCAGGTAATGAAATGGCTGCAAGAAAACAACCAAGCTCAGAGAGCACCAAAAAACCCTTGGTTCTCCCCATCCCTTATTTATTTATTTATTTTATTTTTATTTTATTATATTTATACCCCGCCCTGAGTCCTCTAGGGCGGCTTACAGCCAGTTTAAAAACAATTTATACAATACAATACAAAATTTAAAAAATGATTAAAAATAAATATTTAAATAGGCCGCTTCTAATAAAATTTAGTTAAAACCAATTTAAAATGCCCCTAGGCCAGTCCTGCCCGCTGAAACAACCAAGTCTTGAGGGCGCGGCGGAAGGAGGAGAGATCCGGAATCACCCGGATCTCTGGGGGCAGCTCGTTCCAGAGGGTGGGTGCTCCGACAGAGAAGGCTCTCCCCCTGGGGGTCGCCAGCCGACACTGTCTGGCTGACGGCACCCTGAGGAGGCCCTCTCTGTGGGAGCGTATCGGCCGGTGGGAGGTAATCTGTGGCAGAAGGCGGTCTCGGAGGTAACCAGGTCCA